AAATATCCCAACTGGTGAGGTTTTAAAATTTTCTATTTGTACCAGGAGAAAAACTTGGTATCCTTTATGAGGTCATCAACAGAACATTTCTGAGACGTTGGATCAATATTCTTGGAAGACAGTTGTCTGTATTTGTATAGCTCTTTATTTTATAAAATTCTTTCATAGATATTGTTAATTCTCATGATAACTCATGTTTCTATAAATATTTATGAATGTTCACTCCAATGAATTTTTTTTATAATTCTCTATGGACTGTTATTGCCCTCTTCAGTAGTGAAATATCTTTTTGTGTTGTTTTTTGAGATGATTAAAATAATTGTTGTAAATTAAGGCCTGCCATCTCAAAATTTATACTGTATTTGATGTTTTCATAAAGAAGAGCTCTTAAAAAATAAGAACAAGATTCTAGAGAACTTAATATACTATGATTACAAAATATTGGACTGTTAAAAGTATCAACCTTAATAGCTTATTATATATAAATTCTTTTAAAATCAGTCAACTTATCTGTAACGTTTTTATTATCATATTAGCTAAGGTAATGAATACAATGGTTGGTATCAATGTAAAATTTAAATTGTTATTATTATTACACCTCTTTGTTCAATTATATCCCTTTTTATTCATTGCTTTTTGTTGTTGTTGTTTTAAAATTACTATATGGAAAGAAGACTGTTTTTGGCATTCAGTTTTTAGTATGAATCTTAGCACATGTATAGATTTGTGCAGGAGCTCTTGGTGGTGAAGTGGCTAAACCACTTGGCTGCTAACCAAAAGGATGGTGATGGTTTGAACCCACTAGCCACTCCAGGGAAGAAAGATGTGGCAATCTGCTTCTGTGAGTTGGAACCCATTGTACAGCACCTGATGATAGACAATCAACATACAGTCTAAATATGAGCTAGGATTGACTCACTGCCAGTGGATTTGGTTGGTTTTGGATAGACTTCTGTAAATATCACCCAAATCATCAACATTTTAAAACGGACATATTTTTAATCTAGATTAAGATACATTAGAAAATTGTTTGGATAATTTAAATACTTTAGATAATTCTACATCTCCAACATGTTTTTAAAATAACGGATTGTCATAATATATAATATACAATATTTATTTCTTTGAATGAGAGGTGTTTTTTAAATTAAAATATAACAAAAGACTATAGTACAAAGCATTCCTTTAAAATAGAGAAACTGATGTTTATATCAAGATTTGTGCAGACTTAAATTGTTCCCACATGCTTTTACCACTCACAGAACTTTTCTTATTGTTTGAAAGAGCAGGCTATAAAACTTGCAATTTATTTGTTTTTTTACTCAAGTGGGTATATGTGTATGCATTTATATATATATGTATATAAG